AATAATAGGATGAGTTCGAGTCATTTTGTTTTCAGTTATTGATCATGTTAAGGTTTGCCTTTTGCACACATTTTGTGATTTTGACTAGTAAGTCTAGGGTCCAGTTCTGCTCAGTGAAGTAAAAGCTCAGGCTAGAAAAAAGTGCAGGACTGGGGGTCCCTGAGATCAGGATTGAGGTGCCCTGCTTTGACCACTTAACTGTGTACCTCTTGGAGAAATGCCAAGCACTTCTGAGATATTGATTTGATAGTCATGTAAGCATTAAAAGCCAAAATACCTTAAAAGGGGAAGATCTGAATGCAATAGAAAACAGTATTCTATGCACCCCTCTTTGTTAGCAACCCCAAACTGCAGAAATTACTTTTTGTAGCCTTTGCATATTTGATTTTTTTGGAAATTAAAACTTTGAGACTTAAATTTTGCTGGTTGTGTTTTTATTGCTACATGCATTTCTTGTGTGTGGAATGTGGCTGAAGGGTTGCTACCACTTGGCCACTAGATGGGGCAAAAGTATTTGCGTTGGGAGTCCACAGATGGGGTAAGATATGTGCATTTGCTCAGCTCTGTAGTCTGCAATAATGGCATTTGTAAGAGCGGGGGATTAAGCGACTCCAATGCAGAGGTTTTGGGTTCCTACTGGTTTTTGAGGTTAATTTCAGTTAACATCTGACCCAAGACTTGTCCACTTAGTTTAAGTTGTTAAGGTCTGAGAGAATGAAGTTCCTAAGGACAGCAGTTCCCATATAGCACTGTCCCAGGTCACTGGCGATTCAAAAGGGAGGAGCGCCACCTACTGGTCCACTAACAAGTCGCTTACTTACAGCAGGAAAGAAAACCGGTTCAACTTGGAAATGTCCCTTCCCAGTACTGACCACGCCCAGCCATGCTCGAACCATAAGCTCCTCATGGTCTGCACCAAGGTCTCCTGACCTGCTGTTCTAGATCTGGTCAAAACGGCATCTCAGGGAAAGGAGCTGTTTGAGCCCTGAAAAGAAGAAAATATAAAAAATTGTGCACAACACACTTGAGAAGCGCTGTTGCCAGCCTTGGCTGGGTTTGCAGGTTTAGTGCGATGCAGAACTCGTGAAGCTGAAAGTTCAGGAAAAATGGTGAGACTTGCTTGTGTTCCGGTGATGGAGCAACATAGCTGTCGATGTGTTTTAGTCAGTATCTGTATGTAACTCAAAATGCTGAGGGATTCACCTTTTCCAGCACAGCAGGACAACCAGCAGATTTCGGCAGGTATTTCCCAAGTGAATGCAATTGAAAGTTACGGACTGTTAATTTCTACGAAGTCACACAAGGTAGGATGGCAGGCTATTAAGATCAGATTTTTATTGTTCCCTGAGGGGGATTTGTTTTGTACAGGGAGAAATTGGTAAGGATCTACACTTCAACAGAGCTGCTGACTCATCAGGGTTTTTCCCACCACCAGACTTCCTCTTAAGCAGGGACCTCTAACCCTGCTCCTGGAGAGCCCCATGTTGTTGGTCTTGTAGGTCACCTGTTACTAATGATACCTTATGATCTAGTTACTGATCAATTAAGCAAGCGATATATTCATGGGACAGAACTCAGCAGGTCTGCAGGGGCTGAAGGACACTCAGTCTACAGCTTGGGTCGATCTCCGGATAGCTTCATCTTATTAAATCTACCTGCTGAACTGGTCCCAGTGACAATGCTGTAAGGAAGTGGCCGATTTCATGGTGACCTATAAGAGCTGCCGTGTTGTGTGTGTGTGTGTGTGTGTGGGAGTGGGGCTGGACAGTGGGATCGCACCGATAGGCTGACAGCAGGCTCGACTTCGCCTGCCTGCCTGTTTGCTTGGTTTAGAGGTAATTGCCCAGGGCCTCCTGTGTATCCAGTGTGCGTCGGTGAAGGAGGGATCCGTTCGGTCTGTAGCAGCCAAACCTGCTGGGCGAGTCAGCGGTTGAATCTGTGTCTCCCTGTAGCAGGGGAGGGGGCAAGAGTGGAGAGGGAAGGTGTCACAGCTCCCTCAGTCACTCCTCTGCACTCTGCGGGGAGGCAGTGAGATCACTGCAGGATGGAGGTTACCTGAGAGTCAGATCGGAGCAGGAGACGGGGGAGTGAGAGAGAGAGAGAGAGAGATATATATATACAGTGAGCAACTGACCCCAGTTAGGGGCTGAGGAAAGTTTTCAAAATGTCCATCACTGTGAACTTGAAGAGGATCACCAACTTACCAGGGAAATATGACCGAAAAGTAGAGCTGTCGTTCAGAGGTGAGCATCCTGATTGATATTTCTGATATGTATAGATTTGTAATCTTTTTTTTTCGTCATATATATTCGAGGAATCGAGAGGAAAATGGGCCGAGTGAAACAGGGACTTGTATCTCCGTAAACATAGGGGAAGTTAAGTTATTTTTTCCTGGATTCATTTTTAAATTGCAATGGCCTCTGGTATCGGAGCAGTTTGACTGTGATTTAATTGATCTAAGATCTAAGAAATACAATCGGCAATAGATTGCAGATATGAATGGTGATGCTAATTTTCCATTTGTGACTAAATGAGATCACGAACGAGTATATGGGAAGTCTGCACGCTGTTCCGCTGAGCTCTGGTGTTCTGATAGTATTATTAAAGAGGGAGAGGGTTACGGTGTTATAGTTTATTTCTCACTATTATACTGTAACGCCAGAAGCCCCCTCTGTTGCCGTCAGAGCCCGGTTACTGGTTGACCTCCGAGAGGTGGGAAGTTCCAGTGCTGGGCGCTGCTCTTCCCTGTGTGTCTGGACAAGTCTTCTGTCGAGGACCAGCAGCCCAGGGGTGGCTGAAGGCTGAGGTCACCCAGAAACCAAGGGCTTGACGGCTTGTTTTCTTGGAAGGGCGATTCTGGCCTTGTGCTGAGGATCAAATGAGACAATTTAAAACACTCCTCTTTGGACGGGCTGTTGAATTTTAAACATTCGTGAGGGGTGCAGGGAACTCCAGTCCGCACGTAATAATCCAGCACAGATGTAGTGCTAACAACCATTTGCTGTCTCTTAACAAGGCAAGGGTACCCTCGTATCTTTGCCTGTTTGTTCCCCACAATGCTCAGTTCACACTCCGGAATGTAATGATTCCTTTAAAGAAAAGCAACCTGCCATTGTAAATTCTCTTATTTCTGGAGGATTAAGTTAACGCTTTCCCTTTGTGTCCGAAAAGCCTGCCTAGCCCTTAAGCTCTTTTACTTTCCACCTGGCTGTATTTGTCTTCAGTACTCCTACCTCAGAGCTTAGGAACCATTGTCTCAGCGCAGTAAAGCCTGCTTTTCTCTGCCAGAGCCTTCGAAAAGCACAGGCTGAGTACTAGTACCACACAGCCGGTCCTTCGTAGCTGCTGCAATCTGAATTGGCTTATTTAGAGACTTCTTTTCATATTAACTTATTGGACACTTTTGTTGGAATTGACTTACAGAGAGTTTCTTTTTGTAACGCCTGACTTACGAAGACGCCTTCCACACATGGACTATCAGTGACGCAGGGAATCGGTGGCTTGAACTGGGAACCAGTCTTTTACCACAACCACAGGTCGACATACAGTTTGGCAGACATCACGCCCTTGTGATGTCTTTACTGGATTTGGGCTGAATGACACAAAAATCAAGACGAATCTTTGTACCAACTGAAGTTATAACTACTATTTTTCTTTTGGGGGTATTAAGCAATTTGTGAAAAGGCTGCCATCACTGGGCTAGGTTTACTTGGGGGACCCCTTCGCCCATAAATTAAAGGGCAAAAAAAAATGGGGATTCAAGTTTTTAACTTGCTGTTTAGGAGGAACAAACCCTGCAACTCACAGCTCCCTTCCTCCAGGATGAGAAGAATTCGGGAGCTGCCCCAGTTTGCCCAGGGATGTGACTGTTCCAGATGGGAGCTCTTCCCTCTGGA